TAATTCTCCTCATAGAGCCCAGCTTCTCGGATAATCTGCTCTGCATACATGTCCAAATGCCATAAGATGCTAAATACCATAAGATGCTGAATATCTTTTTATATACTTATTTGTAAAAGAATTTGTGTGTGTGTATGTGTTAAATACAAATTCTGTATTATATATGTGTTTTGTAAATACTTTCCCATGCTATCCTTGCTTCTAGAACCATCTGCTTTTTCCAAGACATATTTGTTTGTTCTTTTGACAATCTATGGTATATTCAGAATTCCTCATAATTAAAAGATATCTGTTGCAGACCGAGGGTCTCAAAGAATGGAATAATTTTATAATTATTAACAATGAGACAAACAGCCAGGAATGAGATAGAGCAGAGAGCATAAAACAGGGGGCCAGCAGTTCTCCACTGAAGACTCCAAGCCAAGCTTCTCTGTATCCTTACTGAAAATTATTAGGAAGTAAATCACAAAGAGAATTCAATGCAAACGAAGTCAAGCTCTTTCTATTGAAAACCTTCTTCTTGACTCAGGAGGGAGGGGTTCACAAATGCAAGAATTTGGTAAACCCTTAAGGATTACCTTGAAGCCTCAGGGTGAACTCTAGCTCAGGAAGTAACACTCCCTCTGTAGGGTGCCCCTTGCTGTTTCCTGTCTGCAGGGAACAAATAGCTCATTTTCTGGGATCTGCCACAAGAGAAATCCTAACTTCTAAATCTGTAATTCCTTCAATTCCTGAACAAGGGTTTTCATATAATATTTGGTATAAAGTTTGGCTTCCCATATTTCTCCCCTTTTGTTTTTATCATAATTATGTTATCATCTAGACTAGCAGATATCATTTGGTTTTCCTTATTCATAGTCTTACTTTTTACATGTTTATGAGGAAATTGAAAATACTGTTACCTGAGTGAAGCGTACCTTCATCTTCAAAGTGATATCTTTACTTTTTAACAGTCTGAAGAGGTCTTTTGCTGCAGATTTTCCCAATGCAGCACATCCTTTGATTTCTTGACTGCTCCTTCCATGCGCATTAATTTTGGATACAAGAAAAACTAAACCCTTGGCAACTTCAGTCACCGTGCTTTTGATACTGGTCTAGTTGTGAGAATCATTATTTTCTTTATGTTGAAACATAGTCTAAGCTGAAGGCTGTAGTCTTTAATTTTTATCAGTAAGTGGTTCAGATCTTCTTCACTTTCAAAAGCAACATACTGCCACTGAGTCAAGTCTGACTCATAAAAACAGTACAGTAGGTTTCTGGGTCTATACATCTTTGTATAAGGGGACTGATCTTTTTAAAAAAAATTTTTTTATGTTAGTATTTTTTGTGTGTGTACTGTCAAATCAGATCTGATGGTACGGGAGGAGATTGCCCATCCTTCTCTAGCAGAGTATCTGGTGGATTCAAACTGTGCACCTCTGGGATTGCAGTGTAGCTTCTTGCCACTAGGCCACCAGAGCTCCCTGCTCATCTTTTTTTGTAGGACACTGGGTAGACTTGTACTGCTCACCTTTTATTTAGCAGCTCAACATATTACACACTACACCGCCAAGGATCCTGATCTGCACGTGGAAGATTGTTAATGAGTCTTATGATTATGATGCCATTTTTTTTCATAGAGTCCAATTTACACATTATTTGCTTCACAGATTGAATAAATATGGTGAAAGCACATAACCCTGACATACACCTTTCCTGACTTACACCACACAGTATCCTCTTGTTCTTCTTGAAGGGCTGCTTGGCCTGTGTGTAAGTTTTGCAGGAGTACGATTAAACACTGTGTAATTCTCATTCTTCACAATATTGTCTGTAATTTGTTATGATCTACACAATCAAATGTATTTGCATCGTCAGTAAAACATAAGTTAGCATCTTTTTGTTATTCTCTGATTTAAGTCAAGCTTCATCAAACATCAGCAGTGATATCCATCCTTGAAGTCCTCTTCTGATTCCAAATTTAATTTCTGACAGTAACCCATAAATGTACTGTTGCAATGGTTTTTAAATTATCTTAAATTTTAAGATATTAAAATGTAATTATTTTTTTAATTAAGAAGTCTTTAAGATTTTAAAGTTTAAGCCATATTTTGCTTATTTGATATTAATGATATTCTTTGATAATTTTCACATTCTGTTAGATTCCCTTTCTTTGACATGGGCCCAAACACAACATTTCATTGATTTAAATATCTCGGTTGAAAGAATTGTCAGGTTTTTTTCAATTCCTAAAGCTTTATTTTTTCCTAGTGCCTTTAGTGGAGCTTGGACTTCTTTCTTTCTGTACCATCAGTTGTTGATCATGTGCTTTCTCCTGAAATGGTTCAGTGTCCACCAATTCTTTTTAGTACAGTGACCTTATACATTCCTTTCTTCTTGAGATGACTCACTACTTAGCCATAGAGTCACTGAGTATTGCAACTCAACACATGAATTTTTTTCTTCACTTCTTTCAGCTTGAGAAGTACCAAGACTATCCTTTCCATTTGACTTTATAACTCCAGATCTTTGTATATTTCATTATACTTTACTCTCTCTTCTTGACCACCCTTTGAAATCTTCCATTCAGCTATTTTACTTCATTATTTATTCTGTTTTAAGTACACACTGGAAATTTGAATTTGGAATGAGTATGATATGATATTACAAAAGCTTAGAATTACACAGGATCATACTTATTCCATGCTACCTTACCATGTTTTTGTTAGCTGCTATCCAGTTGCCCCTAACCATGCATAGTAGAGCAAATTGGACCATTATAATCCATAGTGTTTTCACTGGCTGATTTTTCAGAAGTAAATTACCAGACATTTCTTCTTAGTCTGTCTTAATCTGGAAGCTCTGTTGAAATCTATTCAGCACCATAGCAACACTCAAGCTTTCACTAACAATTGAGTGGCAACCATGCATAAGGTGCAATGGACTAGAATTAAACACTGAGTTTTATGTTCTGCCTTGAACACAATGGTTCTGTCACAGCCATAAACCAGAAGAGAATAAAGTAGATGAATGGGACTTTGTAAGAATCAAATCCCTCTGCGTATAAAAATTTCTCCAACAGGATAAAAGGGAAACACACATACTGGGGGAAAAATAGTTGGCAATGATATATATGATAAGGGACTTATATCTAAACTTTATAGAATACTCTAGCACCTCAACAAGAAAAAGAAAGAAAAACAATCAAGTTATAAAATGGGCACAGGATATGAATAGACACTTTACCAAAGAAGACATTCAGATGGCAAACAAACACATGAAGAAATGTTCAAAATCTCTAGCTAGTGCAACAGTGAATGAATGGAAATACAAAAATCTCTGTAAATGTTCATTAAAATGAATTTAAAAAAGATTTAAAAATCTCTAGCTATCACAGAGTTGCAAATCTAAGCAACTCAGATATCATGTCACTCCAGTAACAATAGCAAAGTTCAACAGAGCAGCAAACAGCAAATTCTGGCAAGGTTGTGGAAAGATTGGAACTCTTAATCACTATTGGTAGGAATGTAAAATGGTACGCCACTATGGAAGGTGGTCTGGCACTTTCCCAAAGAGTTGGAAATAGAAATACCAGCTAACCCAGCAATTCTACTACTGGGAATATACCCTAAAGAAACCAGAGCCATGACTCAAATAGACATATGCACAATCTTGTTTATTGTTGTATTATTCAAAATAACAAAGAGATGGAAGCAACCCAAGTGCCCATCAAAAAACAAATGGATAGAAAAAACTATGGTACATTCCCACAGGATATTATGGAATATTATGCAGCATTGAAAAACAGTGAACTCATAAAACATTACACAACATGGGGGATTCTGGAGGACATGACGCTGGGTGAAATAGTCACAAAAGGAGAAATACTGCATACACCACTGTTATAAAATAGGACAGATATGGTGGGGGAGGGTTGGAGAGAGAATGGTAGAAGAGTAAATAGATTATGAACACTGCAGTAGAACAGATGAGAGGAAGAACTATTTGAAAGAAATATGTTTGTTGTTGTTATGTGCTATCAAGTAGCCTGTGACTCAACCTATATCTTGCAACCCTGACATATCCTGAGTCAGTCTCACTGACTCCAATACATCTACTCCCATTACTGTAGTTACTATGTCAGTCCATCTCATCTGGGGTCTTCCTTTCCTGCAGTGTCCCTCCACCCTTCCAAGTATGATACCCTTCTCCAAGAACTGGTACCTCTTGGCCACATGCCCAAAGAATGTGAGACAGAGCTTCAAAGTCCTTACCTCCAAGGAAAAAGTAGGCTTCACCCTCTCCAATACAGACCTGTTTATTCTCTTGGTGGTCAATGGTATGTTCAGTACTCTTCTCCAGTACCATAATCAAAGGCATCAATTCTTCTTCTGTTATCCTTAGTCATTGTTCCCCTCTCCAATGCATAGCAAATAATTGCAAAGACTATGACCTAGATCAGGTGCACCTTAGTCCCTAGACTGACAATTAGGCATTTTATGTATGACAGTAGTCTGGAACAAGAGATGCACTGCAGGGTGAGGTCAGGGAGGAGGAGGAGTGAAGAAAATGTGCAAAACAAATATATATATTTAAAAAAGAATTCTGCCACAGCAATACCAGCCCCTCTTTTAGCTTGCCATGTGTTGTTCTTAGATACTATCCAGTTTATTTCTGCTCGTTGCAACCCTCCATGATAGAGAAGATGGCCCTAAAGAGCTTCTCTAGGCTATAATCTTGAAGGGAAAGATTCTGTTCTTCCTCTGTAGCCTCTCAAGAGGTTGTCCAACAAGTAGCCTTTCAGTTAGCAGTTGAGTTGTACTACCAAGTTCCTTATCTTGCATGAAGTGCTCTTAAATATCCTTGATTATTGACTGATTTGAGACTCAGTCCTGGAAAAATGTATAAATATCAAAAGCAAAATAATGAATCATTAATGGAGTATTTTCTAGGCAGTACATAATTGACATTTTAATTCTCTTTATCACAACTTATGCAAAGGCTTTCTTACTTTTCTCTAGTTCTTCAGAGCAGAAATGGACCGAGACTACAATCTGGCCAAAAAATTATGTCAGATGAGTAAGTACAAAATATTTTTCTATTTTCTAGCCTTGGTTTCTAAATAACTTCCATAATATGTCTGGGATTCCATTGTCATTAGTCTAGTAAATAGAGGGTCTCAATGATAGTAAACTATGTTGTTAGGTATATGTACTGATTTAGACTTATTAAAGTACTTTTGAATAGGAAAAAAATTATATAGACCAATTATCACCATTGGAAAAATAAATACAAATCTTTATCTTCATGATCATGAACTATTAACTATGTTTTTTTAAAAAAAAGCATAAAGAAGTGTCAGATAATTCAACAATCAAACCTTACTTAACATGAAATTATTCCACAAATAGAGTTGCCTGCATGTATCATACTCTTGGCATTGGAAATGTAACAGTCAACAATCCCTTATTTGTAGATTTTACATTCTAGTGTTGTTGCTGTTATTGTTATGTGCTTTTGAGCCACCTATGACTCATAATGACCCTATGTACAATGGCCCTAAACCCTACTCTATCCTGTGCCAATCTTACTGTCTCTGACACACCTACCCTCATTACCCCAGTCACGGAATCAATCCACCTCACTGAGAGTCTTCCTCTCTTGTGCTGTCCCTCCACGCTCCCAAGCATGACCTCCCTCTCCAAGGACTGGTCCCTTCTTGCAACATGTCCAAAGTAGGTCAGATGAAGCTTTAGAATCCTTGCCTCCAAGGAGCAGCCTGCTCTCTAGGACAAACCTGTTTGTTCTCCTAGCTGTCCATGGTATATCCTTCTCCAGCACCACAGCTCAAAGGCATCTATTCTGCTTCTATCATCCTTAGTCATTGTCCAGATTTCTGATGCATAGCAAGTAATTCAAAAGACTATGGCCTGGATCAGGCACGCCTTAGTCTCCAGACTGACATTGTTGCTCTTCAGTACTTTAGGAAGGTATCTGACTTTCCCAGTGCAATTCATCTTTTAATTTCCTGGCTGCTGGTACCAAGTATGTTGATTGTAGAGCCAAGCAAACTGAAGCTGTCAACAATCTCAATCTCTTCACCATCTATCATGATGCTCACACTTGACCCAGTGGTGAGAATTTTTGTTTTCTTGATGTTGAGCTTCAACCCATATTGAAGGCTGCAGTCCTTAACCCTCTGCAGCAAGCACTTCAGGTCCTCCTCAGTTTCAGCAAGCAAGGCTGTGTCATCGGCATAGCACAGATTGTTGATGAGTCTTCCTCCAATCCTGATGCAGCATTTCTCCTCATAGAGCCCACTCTCTCAGATAATCTGTTCTGTAAATATTGGTGTTGTTAGGTGACCTCGAGTAGATGACCTCTCACAGAGACAGACCTCTACTTTTCCCTGCATGATGTCTTTTTCCAAAGATTGACCCCTCCTCATAACATAATGTGAAGTTTCACTATCTTTGTCTCTAAGGAGCACGCTGCTTGTTTTTTTCTTTTGGTAGTCCACTAGTTGTTCAGTACTCTGCCAATACCATAATTCAAAGGCATTGATTCTTACTCTGTCTTCCTTATTCAGTGTCCAACATCAAGGTACATAGAAAGTAACTGAAAATACCATGGCTTGAATCAGTCTTGAAGAGGCTTATTCTTTAAATTGATATCATTGTTCTTTAACACTTTGGAGAGATCCCTAACAGCACATTTTTCCAGTGCAACACATCTTTTGAGTTCTTGACTGCTGCTACCATGCTGTTGATTGTGGAGCTAAGTAAAACTTCAGTATTTTGTCCATCTATCTTGATGTAAAACATTATCTGTAAAACATGATAATAATACTCCTTATACAGTTGCAAGAACTCAGTGTGATAATGCAGAAATAGCTCTATCACATTATCTAAAACATTATTTTTGTTGTTGTAATTGTTAGGTGCCATCAAGTCAGCTATGAATCATAGCGACCTTATGAACAACAGATCGGAACCTTGCCCTGTCCTGTGTCACCCTCAAGATCTTATATGCTCCAGCCTATTAGTACTCATAAAGTAGTAGTTATCATGGTTGGAGTCCTTGAGTTATATAAATTATTAACACAGTCACCTGGTAGCCAAAAGGTTGGAGGTTCAAGTCTACATAGAGGTCCCTCAGAGGAAAGGCCTGGTGATTTACTTCCCCAAAAGACAAGCCATTGAAAACTGTTGTTTAAAGAGGTGGAAACAGAACATAAGGGCACAGGGCCAGGAGCATCTCTCAAAGGGCCAGAGGGAGTAAGGATATAGCACAACCTCGCATGGTCCCAGAGCAGAAAGCAGATAAAGCCCATAGCCCCGCTCCAGGGTACCTGTGGATCCCCAGCGGCAGCAAGAGATTTGTTTATTCATTGTTGACTCACAGACTCACAGTTATGGTACCAACAATGGGGTTTATTGGGGATGGAGGTTGGAGAGTGAGGGAGGCAAAGAATATCACAATATCACCCAAAATAAATCTAGGTTTTAGCCCAACAGTTCCAAGGCACAGCTCCTCAGTTAGTCCAGGCTCCGGTTTCAATACAGCAAACAGCTTTTCCTTCCATCTTCAAAGGCTAGAACAACAAAATCTAGCTATGGCCAGCACAAACGCAAGAAGCCTCAGGTCACACCTTGCCACAGTTTCTCCACAGCAGTGCCAGTCTCTCCACCACCATGGTCTCTACCCTCCCCAGGGTCTTGCCACCACAAGCCTTGCTTGCCTCAAGGCTTGCTTCAAGTCTTTCTCACCGCAAATCTTGCTACTCTGTATGGGAAACACCCTTTTACTTATCCTAGTCCCACAGCTGATGCTGATTTGCAAGACCATGTGTCTGTAGTT